AACTACAAAGACACAAAATTACAGTGAAACTAAAAACTTAAAAAGACATTTCAACAAAGGGCAGAATACTTGACAATCAGATGGCCAGACCAAAGGAAGTAAAATAAATAAATCTTATCTTTTTGATTTGGTGAAATGCAAAAGAAATGCATTTTCATATTAATGATTCTGAATCTTCTCTTTGTTGAAGAGATTAAATTAAAATAAGCGGGTAGTCAGTCAGATTTTAAAATATATCCTTGTGCTGTAATCTGTTAAGCAGTATCGTCTGTGCTGCTGCGTCCTGTTTGATCCTGCCGCCCACCTGGGGCGGCAGGGCGGTGCACATTCTTCATTACCACAGATGCGCTCTGAACTCTGACAAACTGATCTTCCAGCTGTGCTTGTGAAGAAATGCATCTTTTGCAGGTGCATAGCTGAGAGTCTGCGCTTCACGCTCCACACTGATGGTTCGCTCTCAGCAGTATGGCGTTTCCTGCTCTCGCTACTTAATAAACTATATTTGGCTGATCATTCTCTGCCAATCGTACCAAAAAGAATCCCTAAATTATATCCAAAGAAAATATTTTGTTTCTGGATAAAGAGCCAGGAGAAAAGATACATAGATCTTTGAATATTTCTTTCTCATTGTTCTTGTTTCTATCTATTTAAATATGATGTAAATGTTGCCTTGCATTGTTATAAAAATATTTTTAATTTAGTTTCCTTTGAATATGTCAACATTTTTGGTAGCATATTCATTCAATGATGAGGAACTGCAATGCAGCATTCTATACCCAGTAATTGTAGTATCTAGGCAACAGCTGTCAGTCTGGTAAATCAACTCAACTCAACTCAACTTTATTGTCAAATGTGCTACATGGTAAACATACAACACAGATAAAATTGCAGTCCTCTCAACCCCACAGTGCATAATAAAATATAATGAACCATAGCATAAAAAAAATTGAAATAAAAACCTAAGATATAAAAATAAATATAGGTATCTGCTCGGATAACAAAAAATCTAACAACGAACTAGTTTAAATACTAAAAAATTTTACAAATGTGCAGATGGGAAGTGTAGCGGTAAATTATTACAAAGTAACATTACAGTGGTCCTGATGGATGACTAGTGCAAAGAGTCGATGTAAACGACGTGACTGTAACATGTACAGCAATTATTATTACTGCACAGTACAGTGGCTATAGTGCAAATAATGCAAATGGTAGCATGAGCTGAGTAGCAGTCATGATGTCTGCAGTACAAACAGTGGTGCAAATGATGCATATGGCAGAGTAAACTCAGTAGCAGTTCAGATGTATGCAGTATAAACAGTAGTGCGAATGGTGCAAATAGTGCATAGAGTAGCAGTAAATAATCTGGTTGTTATTAGAAATTGTAAAGGTTAACTTTTTTTGCAACATAAAACAAACTAAATCCTTTTTAAGTTTTAGTCGACTAAAAATGACTAAAACTATTTCATATCATTATGACTAAATGCGCCTAAAGCTAATAATAGTTTTCGTCCTGAAGACTAAGACCAAGACTAAATCTAAGATAGCTGTAATATATAAGTACTGTTATCTAATTTTTATTAAAGGGGCTTTCTAAATACACTTGAGGTCTTTAAAATCCCCAAATTAACTGACAAAAAACTGGGAAGAATGGCTTAAAGGCTGCGTTTATGGGAGATCTGAAAGACTCTAAGAAGGGATGTGATTAACGAGTCCTCTGTGGTCACTGTGGAAATCCTCCACTAGTATGGAGGAAGACATGATGTGATTGTTTCAAGTCAAAGTTTAAGAACCATTCTGTTTGGGAGACAAAAGAGCAGAGAATTGTGGGTTTCTGCTGCATCAAAGCATGTGGGCATGTTCACATTTCCAAATCTGACTTCTCACCTCCTCTAAAACATCATGACGTAATAACTTCAACACACAAGGTCAAACATCTACACATACGGTTAGTTCTAAATCACACATGCATCATATGATTTGCTTCCAACCAGATTTAAAGGCACTTTTGAAACCTACTATCAGCCTCTTTGGATTAAATTAGAATTTGACTCACCTGTGCCGCCTAGAATATCTAAACAGCCACGTCCCCCGATACATCTGCTTTAAATTCCATGTCTATTCCTGTGTATATTTGCAGTTATCTCATGCTCTTCTTTTTGGTAGGACCTAATGGCTCCCTGTGAGATGTTTGAAACTTCGGATAATAATTCATAACCTAACCTTGGTTTACACATCTCTCCAACTTTCTCTAAGACCTGTTTTCTATGGACCCCGTGTTCCTGATGCTGCTTTTTCACTACGGTCTTCTAGCTGAATAAAAGTACGTGACACCCAACAGATTTCACATGTAAGGTGTTTTGAAAACTATAAATGTCATGAATGATGTCTGGTTTATTGTTTTCTGGTTGGCTGGTGGATTGTCTCTCCCAGCTCTGCTAATAAGAGTAACCAGATGCACCTGATTCTATCCCAATCACCCTTAGTCCTCAAGCTTTTTCTCTGCCTATCTATAAGTGCTTTCAGTTATTCCCTGCCAGAATGTCTCCTCTTTGTCCATACGATGATCTCTCCATTGTCTATGTGCATTGCCAGCTTTCCTTCATCCCTGTGCTCATCATCCCTTCATTGGTCCTTAGCTCTAGGGTCAATGTAACCTGACTCCGCCAGATGGATTTGCTCCGCATATCCATCTGGAAACCTTCTGTTGAAGTAAATTTGGGAAGGGGCGAAAATACTGGTTAGCTGATTGGCCTATGTTGGTGATAGACGGGCCAAATAAACCAATCAGATCAACGAAGCATATGACGTACTAACAGAGCGACGACGAAGAGGAGCCAATTGATAGATCAAACTCTTGCCGAGACCAGTCGGGAGAAGAGCAAAAACATCTTTTCCTCTGAGAAAAGCCTCCAGAGCAGTGTTTTGCTCTTCTTTCAGTGAAGAAATACTCTGTAATTCCGATAAAACTTGCTCGATAGCCACGCTAACGCTAGTTTAATCGGCTGAAGCCGCCATGTTCTTTAGACTGAACTGTCGCGCTTCTCGTTGAGTCACACCTCAACCCGCCTCAAAGCCAACGCTGATTGGACGTTCGTTTGGTGAACGGCTCCAAATTTTCTTTAACGGAGAGTCTCCAGACTGATCTGCGAGTGAAACCTTGAAAGCTCGCGAGATCAGGATGGTCTCACGAGGCTAGGGTCAGTGTGCCCCATCTGTGTTCCTGAGATCCTGGGATCCTGTGTTTGGTTTTCCCTCAATGGATTATCATGCACTTCTAACTCTGTTCACATTCCGGACTGTTTCTCCCTGTCTCCAGTTTGTCCTCTCATCATCTGGTTTGCTTAAGGTCTTCCTCTACATAGTTATTGCCTCTCCTCCAAGTCCTGCTGTCAGCCAGTTTAGCCAGTCACCAGTGGGTCCTGTCTTCACCTGCCTCCTCAAGCCTGCTACCGGTAAGTTCTGCCTGTCACCGAGTGTTTCAGTTGTCACCTACCAACTAAAGCTTCCTATCAGTCTCCTGCATTCATAAACATTCATTACAAACTCTTTCAAGAACATTTTTTAAATGAACTCTGCATTTGGCTGAATCCAAAAGTCTTAGGTCTTCTAATCTCAATGTATTCTTACCAACACTTAATAAATATGCATTACTTTGTCTTAATTTATTACATAATAACTTGATATTGGATTATTTAGCCTAATTGGAGCTAATGGTTGTAGTGTGGCCAAATGTGAAGCAGTGTAAAAACATGCATAAACAGAAAACATATTCAGCTCTGATCTTTTGGTAACCTGCAAAGCAAAGCTACAAAAAAGTGGTTTGAACAACCTTGTCTGATCTTCAACCTGTTATTTTAATGCATTTTGGGCCAATAATATGGACACATTCAGAATTAGATGTAGTTCTTCTGGCATTATAGAGAAAATATATATGTCCCATACCAGGGAAATGTTTCGGAAGGCGTTTGTGTTCTTCTCTTGGTTTTTCTCCACCCAGCTGCTGCTGGAAGCCTCAGCCTGAAAGAAAGAACATGGATGAGTGGCATGTGGAAATGTGAAAAGAAGGCGTCCGCTTTTATTCAGACTCTTATAAGGGCAGCTGGGTCAGCCTGAGACTGCAGGAATGAGTCCTCCAGCAAACTGCTGAATATTGGAAAGCTAGGTCTAACTGGTCTAATGCCAGCAGTAACAGGTTCCAAAATGGGCTTCAGGGCCTGAACATGCTTCACACCAGGGAAGCCCAGGTGGTGTTTTAAACCGAGGAAGAATATACCATTCTCTACTTGCTGAAAAAACAATCTGCACCATTAAGGTTGATCCTTTTGTCATTTTGTCCATTTTTTTATTTTTGCTGAGTGCAAAGTTTCAAATAGAAACCAGAATATAATATAGGGCAGAACTTAGTTTACTCAGAGCGTTCATCAGGCCCTGCTGCCAAAGCGGGTCTATCCACCAGACTGATGAGGCAGAATGAGGTCCTTGTGGATTGATGTGAACTAAAAGTGATCATCAATACAAAATACTGTAATAAGTGACGTGACCCAGAAAGCTGCACTCTGTCAACGGCTAAGACCAAGAAGCTAACAGTAAAGGAAAATGGAAATCATGGAGACAAAGTTCTTTTTGTTATTATAGAAACCACCAATGAATGTCTGGTTCTGATTTTGGCTTCAGTTTCCACTGTCACTTCTTACTTGTTAATGTAAAACATGATATCATGTCCTTTAATGGAACATTAAAGGTACAGAGGACGAAGTTTTATTTCCGAGTGGATCATCTAAATAAATGGTCCTAATTGTCAATCATTCTGGTGATATGTTTAGTAAGGCCGTCCTACGTGCTTGCCCCGTTAGCTATCTTTTTCTGCGCATGCTCACTTTCAAGCGTATATCTGTGGTGAGCTTCGGTTTCAGACAGTTATTGAAGCTCACCTTTCTCACCCCGGTTCTTTGAAAATGGCTGGCAGATTGTCTCTAAGAGAAAAAGTGTCCAAGAAGTGTGTGAAAAGAGAAGAAAGGCCTCAGAAGAGGCAGAGCACGGAGAGCTATCCTCCCAAAGCATTATGGAATTTCCTGTCACAGCGGCCCGCTGTCGCCATAGGCTGTCACTACCCAACAGTGACGGCCAATAACAAAGATGGCACAGGCACTGTGCGGTGGAAGAGGAGTTACATGACCAACGGGGAGCACAAAGCTGTGATCATCTGTCTGAACGGTCAGTTAACTCAGTTCACTATTAAGTCCACTATGTAGTCCCCGCTCTATATAGATATTGAGGGATTAAAGGGGTAGGGCGGACGTTTGGGCAGAACTATGAGAGCAGCAACTTTTAAACAGAATGTGCACGAGGAAAAATGGCCTCGTGCATACTCTTGCACGGTTAAACAGGCGTGCAATAAAGCAATAGATACAAGGTTGTGCATGTGCATTTTTTTGTGGAGAGGGTGGGTCTTTTCAAAAAATTGCAAAAATCCTCCACTAAACCGACATTTTTACATTTTCTTTTTTAAAGTAATTTCAATAAAGAGAACATTAATCTTTTCATAACATGAGGACCCAAATTTGGGTCCTCAGCACTCGCCCCAAGATGGTTTTTAGACCTGTAACATATTCTCTGGGGTCTTGCCTTTATTTTGATACCAAAACAATTAAAATGAACTCTGTAGTTCTTGAGATATATTCAATTCATTTTGGGCATGTTATTTTCAAGCATATTTCTCGAAAACAGGCCTAGTGTCCAAGAGGTTAAACAAAAATCACATTCTACAAGTTTTGCTTATCACCTTTGACATAGAAAAAAATGAATCCTTTGTATTTTAAATTTCACTTTTTGTATTTTCAAACCAAAATCAAGCAGCTGCTGTATCATTTGTTCATTCAGGCTTTTTCAAATTGAAACAATGAAAAAACTAAAAACTGTTGTGTCAAAAAACAGAAAGCTGTTCCTTATTTCACATTGATATAGTCATTTAAATATTAAAAGAAGGGATAATCTTTGTTTTTGCTCTGATCACAGCACAAACAGGACAGGTTATCCCTCATCCAGATATCTAAATCTTGATATTTTTTTCCTTTTTGCAGGGCAGCTGCAGCACCATTCTGAACCTGTGGAGCATCTCTGCTCTACGCTTTTGCCCTCCAGTGTTCAAAATGATTCTCCTGTTTGATAAATTACACTTTACCTATAGCTGGTTGCTTATTTATTTACAGTTTTTCACTATAATTGTTGCTCTGATTTCTTAATTATTATATATATTTTTCTGCTAAACCTTTAAAGCTGCCATTGAATCTTCTTTAGTAAAGCACTATTGCGATTCCTTTTTCTTTTACTTGCAGCTTGTGTCTCATGAAACCTGTGTTATCTCAGAGCAGAAAAATATAAAAATAAAAAAAGGAAGAGAACTTACCGCCGGACGGTTGGTTTGTCCTGCATCATGTAGGGTAGGACCTGCATGGTCACAGTGGCCTGGTGGATGTAGCACTCTGTGGCCTCCTTGCCAGGCTTGATGAGCCTCTCTTTGACGGTGCAACACTAGGTTGTCGTACACCTCCAGATCCTGAGGAGCTACTAAACTCCTGACTTCAGACAGCATGGACAGCTGTGGATAAAAACAGAAAGTGAGAACAGAAAATCAAATAAGGGCATGTTGATAGAAAGCTTGGTGAACAACTACAGTCATGTACAAACTCCTGTACCTTTGCATGGGTGTTAAAGAGCTCAAACAGAGCCATGGTCAGTGGTTCCACATGAATGTGTCCTTGCTGATACTCCAGCAGATAGTAGGTCATGGTCTGCCTCTCTTGTTCTGTCAATAGCATGTAGGCCTGTTGCTCCAGAGACACCTGAGCACCAGGTGGGCTAACCCCTCTGTACCCTGCAGGCTGAGAGAAAAGATTGTTTTGGCATAAAATATAATACAAACCAAGACGCAAAGAAGAAAAAATGTTTATATTGAGAGTTTGGAAAGCAGATTTAGGCATTTATTTACAAAGGGTTTTAATATAAAAGTGGCAAATTTTATTGCACTTGCAAAGCTAATCTACAAACTGGTTTTTTGGATAATTGCCTGTCTATTGAACATGGTAGCAGATGGACTTTATTTAGAGAGATTGCTTTTATTGATTTACGGAACATGGTTGAAATTTCTAAAAGGAGGATATGCAGATGTAATTATTCGCCAACTGCAATATGAATGATCAAACCTGAGAGAAGTTGAAAATGCCTATATTCAACTATTATGGGCTTCACTGGGTTTGCAGTGTTATGGGTCCAGGGGTTGGAAATGGATGGATGGATGGATGGATGGATGGATGGATGGATGGATGGATGGATGGATGGATGGATGGATGGATGGATGGACAGACAGACGGATGGATGGACAGACAGATGGATGGATGGCAGATGATGGCTAGATGGATGATAGATGGATGAATGATGGATAGATGGATGGACGGACTGACAGATGGATGGATGGACGGATGGACAGACAGACGGATAGACAGACATGGACGGATGGATGGATGGATGGATGGATGGATGGATGGATGGATGGATGGATGGATGGATGGATGGATGGATGGATGGATG